GAAAAATCCCTGAACCGGAGGAATTTTTTTTTTCTTCTTCTTCTCGAAATGACATCGCTCCGGAAAAACGTTTTTTTCTATGAAAAATTTTGGCTGAATCATCACCTTTTCCCGCTTCTTCTGCCTCAATTGAACCAGATTAATACGGAGAACCGTGGGAAAAGACAATGAGGATTTCCCAGAAGCTGCTGAAAGCCCATGAGGCCGACGAGGCTCATCCCCACGAGGATAAGCCGACGTTTTCGTTCGAGTTCTTCGTGCCAAAGACCTCCCAAGGTGTGCAGAACCTATACGACAGGATGGACAGAATGTACAACTTGAACCCGCAATTCGTCGATGTGACCTGGAATGCCGGTGGTCGTTTGTCCAACTTGACCACTGACATCGTGTCGACTGCACAGTCCGTGTTGGGCCTGGAGACGTGTATGCACTTGACTTGCACCAACATGCCCGTGGAGCTGATTGATAAGGCACTGAAGGATGCCTATGACTCAGGATGCCAGAACATTCTGGCGCTGAGAGGCGATCCTCCTGTCGAAGGTGGCGAGTGGACTGCCGTAGAAGGCGGGTTCCACTACGCCAGAGATCTCGTGGAGTATATCAGAAAGAAATACGGGGACCATTTCGACATTGGTGTTGCTGGTTATCCAGAGGGCCATCCGGAGGAGAGCGACTCTGACAAGATTGTAGGGTACTTGAAGGAGAAGATCGATGCTGGTGCTGACTTCATCATCACACAGATGTTCTACGATGCCGATAAGTTCATCGAATGGTGTGCCAAGGTGCGTGAAGTTGGCATCACAGTGCCAATCATCCCAGGTATCATGCCGATCTCTTCGTATGCTGCGTTTAAGAGAAGAGCCACTTGGTGCGAGATTAATGTCCCGCAGCACTTTGAGGATAAGCTGATCTCTATCAAGGATGACGATCAACTCGTCAGAGAAGCTGGTACCGAATTGGTGGCCGAGATGTGTCAAAAGCTGTTGGATTCTGGTTACGTTAACCATCTACATTTCTACACTATGAACCTGGAGAAATCCTCCATCATGATCCTGGAAAAGTTGCAATTGATCTCATCGAAAGCTGCCGATGACCTTCCTTGGAGAAAGTCTCTGAACCCAAATAGACAGAACGAATCCGTTAGACCGATCTTTTGGAAGAACAGAAAGTACAGTTACATCACAAGAACCCAGGGTTGGGATGAGTTTCCAAACGGTAGATGGGGTGATGCTAACTCTGCTGCCTTTGGTGATGTTGAGCTCTTCACTGCTGGATTGCTACGTCAATCTCCAAAGAGAGCCATTGAACTTTGGGGCGAACCACAAACTTTGGAGGATTTGTCCAATTTGGTTATCCGTTACTTGAACGGCCAATTGAACTCTCTGCCATGGTCAGACACTCCAGTGACCTCTGAAGTTGGTTCCATCAGAGATGAGTTGAACAAGATCAACAAGGCTGGATTCTTCACGGTGAACTCCCAGCCAAGGGTCAACGGAAGCTCTTCAGATGATCCAATCTTCGGATGGGGTCCAAAGAACGGATTCGTCTATCAAAAGCAATACCTGGAGTTCCTCATCCAGAGGAAGAAGCTGCCAAAGTTGATTCAAAAGATTGATGAAATCAATGCCCCATATAACAAAAACTCAAGCTCCAAGGACAACTACAATATCTTAACATACTTTGCCATTGACTATTCCGATGATTTGAACTCAAACACAAAGGATGACTCTGCTAACGCAGTAACATGGGGTATCTTCCCAGGAAATGAGGTCCACCAACCAACCATTGTGGAGAAAGTGTCCTTCCTCGCCTGGAAGGATGAAGTGTTCAGAATCCTTCACGAGTGGAGTGGCATCTTTGAATCTGGATCAAAGGCCAAGGATTTGATCCAATCAATTGTTGATGACTATGCCTTGGTCAACATTGTCGACAACGACTTTGTCGGCCAGGATAAGATCTTTGGGCTGTTCCAAGACCTCTGAAGTTCTCATCTACACACGAGCATAAACCCTCACAACGTCATGTCCTTTTAACGTTTTCAATTCGTTTCAACACAGATCACGAAAAAAGCCCATCTCTTCCAACAAGGATATGGGCAACTAATGACTCACTTCTCAACCCTCTTTTTCTATTACTTGCATATTTCTTTTCCTCACAAGCGATACATCAACTGTTGCATATTGATTATGTGATTTGCTCCGTTGGACGTGCACTTCAACCGTGTAATTGTATCCATGGAGTCACCTAATAGTACACTACTACTACTACTACTACTACAAAAACTATGAGAGGGAGATATACTGTAGACATTGCTGCAATAACGTAAGCCAGACTCATTGTAACAATTGATCTCTGTAGTGAGGTTGGTTGTTGATGTTCTTCTGTGCCCTTCTATCATTTCTGTCCAGATCACTCTTCTCGTGTCTCCAGATTCTCTTCTTCTCCAAAAGAGCTTGTCTGTCATGTACAGATGCCAAATGTCTGGACTCTGCTGCGATAACGGTTCCTTGGCCCTCGGAGAGCACTGTCTCAGGTCTGAGGTTTTGACGGAAGTATCTGGCATAGGCACGATGTCCTACTTTAACACCACTAGGTAAGTGTAGCTCGACACCATCATTGTAGGAGACTTGTTCAGGTAACGGCTCGTCGTCATCAGCCTCCTCTTCGTCGCTGCCAACAAGTTCACCTTCGTCATCAACATCTTCCCATTGGTCATCCTCACCGTCGAGTTCTTTGTAGGTGGAGGAAAAGTCGTAAAACTCTGAGATCTCCAATTTCTCATTTTCAGACTCATACGGAATGCTGCAGTGTCTCTTAGCCAGCATGTGAGCTCTCACGGCTTCAAGCGATCTACCTTGGTAGTTGCAAACGATACAAACATTACCGAGCCCAATCTTCTCAGACATGTACTTCACCAGCCCAAGTTTATCCGTAAGGAAGTTCTGTTCTGGGATGTAGAAGCCATGGTACTTGAACATGTGAGTACAGCATGCTTCAAAGTGTGGGAACTTCTTGTTACAGAATAGACAAACTTCAGGTTCAATCTCAACCCCATTGGCCAATTTCTCAGCTAAGAGTTTCTCCTCCTGTTGCTCAGGCGTGAGTTCTTCCTCCTGGTTTTCTTCATCTTCAATTTTCAGCTCCTCTAATTGCTCAGTAACTGTCGCCTCTGTAGGCTTGTCATTCTGGTTCTCAGTCTCACCTTGCTTCATGGATTTGAGCATGTTCTGTTTAGCAAGCTCCAGCAGCTGTCTCTTCTTCTCCAATAGGGCCTCCTTCTCTCTCTTTCTCTGTTCCTTCTTTGTGATGTTCTTCTCTTTCTCGCTCTTCTGCTTCTTGCCATCCTCCTCGGCCTGCGACAGCTTGCTGACCTTCTCGTTGAACATGGCCTCGTCTATAGACGGCAGACCAGCGACTCTTCTCTTCAGGTTATACCTGTGCCAATCAGACTTCATATGACTTCTCTGGCCTTCGGCCTCTGGGAACTGCAGCTGGCACGTGTTACAAGTATACATGTTTGCTCTGATTTCACGCTGTTTGCTTAATACTGAGGTGTGGTTAATGTCGTAGATAAAGCCATCGGGAAAGAAGTTTTGATACCACCAGGGAAAACTTTTCTGCCGGTGGAGCTCATCGGTGGGGGACGCACGGAAAGGGACATCGGAATTGGATTCCGATTGTGTTTCCCCTACCGATGAATGGTTGCTGTGGTTACGGTGGTTTCGTATAACATTATATATTATTTGATATAATATAATATAATATATATCATGGTAAAGCACCAAGTACTACAACTATGGGGCTCGAGAATACTGGTTAAGGACTTTGTCCACTTTATTTGGTCATTTCAATCGTTATCGAGAATATTGAGCATCTCCTTGTACGCCTGTCGTGTTCTGCTTCTCACCTCGGGTTTGGCTTGCTCTTTAGCCCTATCACGAGCCATGGGCTTACCCTTTGATGCACCGGTTAACAACTCCAAGAGATTTGTTCCGGCTTCTGAGTCGTCATATCCAATCTGTGTGGATTTGGGTGTGTCGTCTTCTTGTAATTCTGGGTCATTTGATACTGATTCGTGTAGGTTATCCTTGAAGTTCGAAACCTCAGCTCTACCAACCAACCTGCTACGGTTATCGTGTCTCTTGTTTCTAATAGGAGAGGGCAATTTGGGTAAGGACAGCGAAGAATCACTCTTTGGTAACGGTGGTTTAGATTCTCCTGTGGTCATTTGCTGTCTCGTTGTATCCATAACTGTCAGTGGTCTCAGCTTCTCCTTCAGGTGATCCCATTTGGGACAGTATACACAGCATTCCCTGTTATTGATATTCGATAGCATCCCCTTGAAGAAGGAATCAAAGAGATAGGTTATCGTAACGATTGGAATACTGTTGGCCTTTGCAAATGACAATTTCTTCTTGGTAGACATGATATTCGCCTGTTGTACGTTGAGCTTGAAGTCCTTATTGAAAAGAGTTGGGTACTTCGCTGTCAAATGTTCACCAGACTTGGGACGTAATATGTCATAATTAACCATTAACATATCACGCTCCTTTGTTAAATAATCGTGTAACTTTATACCTGAAAGTTGGAGCATCTTTGAAACGTGTAGCAGTTCTATACCTTGGAACCCAGTTAGACTAATGGTCATATCTTGAACCCCTTTGGAGATCACCTGGTAAAAGGGCTCACCCCATGTATCCTCTTTGATGGTCTTATAATGCAAACTCCTCTCCACAAAGAACTCAGTCACTAAATGTGTATGTCTAGAAGACTTTAAGTGAATTGGGATAGCTGTTGTTGGGAAGTCCGAAGGTATGATGAGATAATCTGGCTCAGTATCACTGTCTTCGTTTAACACCTCACCACTGTGGGATTGAATGGTCTTCTTCAATAACAGCATCTTGTCATCTTCAAAGAATTCCACCTTGAACGTCTTCTCTGCGAATAGCTTTGATTCAATGGCCAGCTGTACAAATGATTTGATCTTTTTTGGTTTATGTGCTTTATCTTCCTCCACTTTTTCCACTTCATCGTGTTCTAAATTCTCACCATCATCCCAAGTGGTATCTCTGCTCTTAGATTGTAGAGCATTGTGTTGTTTAACATCTGTCATTATTGATCTCCATACTTCTGGCTTCTTCTTCACTTGATCTTCCTCGTCTGCAACGACTCTTCTCCTCTTCCTCTTGGACTGCAATTCGTCCCATACTAAACAACTTCCTTCTCCGATTCTTTCGGGACTGACAAGATCAATATCGTAGTACTGAAAGTCCAATGCAGCTTTCCTCTTTAGAGAGTCTATGACCCACCGTGGGTGAACATTGGGGATCTGCCATTTCTTAGCCATTGTATATCTCTTACCACTTTTTTCGTTGATGAGTACACACGACGTTGATCCCGTCAAAGAGTCAGACACGTCAGCTCCATTCTCTGTTAACTGTGTGATGAGATACTCCTTGTCCTCTACACTGAACCATTTGTCAGTGGTGAGCCTTGATACACAGACTGTTAGGCCCTGGAATATCGGAAGTCTGAAGTAGTTTATGTCAACCAATGTGGGATCAGCTTTGTCCCTGTTGTTGATCCAGTTCTCATGGATCTCGTTGATGGACTCTGCTCGTACAAACAGAACGTCTGATCTGTTCCGAACACTGAACTTGAACTTATCTGTGTTCCTGCTACCAACTATCAGGACCTTAACATCGGACATTAAGTTGGAAGAGTGGGTCCCACCCATGGCTTTCACCTTATTGGCAACATCTGTCTGTGGTTGTTCCGTTAGTCTTCAAATCTACAAAGCGCTGGAAGGAAAGATGGGACGTACTCTGAGGTCATTGGGCAATGATGTTGAGCAGAACTTCAGATCTGCAAATGGTTTATGCATTTGTCTCTAAGCGCTTGTATAGATGTCCCAAAACAGTATCAAAATTGGTGACATTTGTCTGGAAACCAGAAACAAAAGACAAAATACGCGCTGTGTTTTTCTTTCAACCAATGGAGGAATTTTCGCGTAAGGAAAATAGTTGGACAAATTCATCATCGCCGAGGGAGGCTTTCCAGTGGTGTCTGGATGGTTTTGATCTGGACCACAGAGGCGATCCGTCCTCTGTGTGGACTAACGGTTTGGTCCACCAAGAGTTTGCAAGAGGTTATGACCACTGCCGCATACCACGTTGTGTGACGAAGTATGTTGCTAGAGTGGGCACACAATGAAAGTTAGGTCATAAGCAATTAGTATGACCGAGAACAAGAGCGGTACACATTTGCTTGGTTGAACAGGATTATGATCAATTGTGATGAAGCCCCGCCATGATGATTATAATGGTTAATTCTTGGACAACTTTATCATGATCAGAAGATCAGGGAGTGTGGTCATGTTGCATAAACTTTTGAAATCCTCAGCATAAACTTAAAAAATAGTTTAAATGTACACGATACGAACCAGCCTATTATTTCCCTATAAAGCGAAAGGGCAACGTGTGATGTGTCTTGTACTTGTTTGTTTTCTGATAAGTTGTGCATTTTTGGCTGCTCTATTTCTTTTTAAAATTTGTCTGTACTTGAAACGAAAAAGAAAAAAACAATCGAAATAATAAATCTGGGGTACATTCTCCATGTGATTATTTCCAAAGGTTATTCGATTCTCCGGGCTGAGTTTCAAGTGATCCCAAGATGAGAATTGTCCAATCAAATCCTTGGCTTAGCATATTGGCACATAACACATGTCCTGGAGCCCTTTTTCTGATGTTCTAAAGTCTCAAAATTCACAATAGCTTTACGACTTTCGCACCAGGCATCAAATTCTGGCGTTGCTTCAAATGCCCCTCCCATCAATTGACACATGAATCTCTATTGTTGAGAGTCTGGAGGTTATTCCAAAAATGTTTGGTTAGTGGGTGATTCCAGAACCACTGCACAGAATTTCAGCAAGCCAACACGGGGACACGCGTAATGAACACCTCCCACAGGAAGGTTTGCTTATGAGGAAAAGTTAAATTAGGTATTTAGGGCTGCGGCCAAAACCTGGGGTGACGTCCGATTTACCGACCAGACGTTGTTTTTTTTTTGGCAGTTCCTTATAGAAGGAATGTCAATTTATGTGGAAACCAATCATACAAAGCAGACTATAATTGTAAGCTGAATATAAAAAGATGCTATGTTTACGATTCATCTGAAGACTGTGAGCTTGATACATGGTGTAATTTGTCTATGTCCAGTCTTTGAAGTACCTTGGGAACGAAAAATAAGGCTGCGGGTTTAAACGCTTTTGTCTTGTTGTGAGCAAACGCTTCGGATGAAAGGAAAAGATACTGGATTTTTCGTACCGATGACATCTTTTAGTTTTAGCTTTCGTGTTTTCTGTTGAAATAGGAGACGGAGATGTGTCAACTTAACAACTTCGAGGTGAAGACAGTGGTGCCACTAATTATCGTAGAACTTTTGGTTGATCATGAAAGGGTTCTTGACTGAAAGACAGGTCCACGTTTGAATCACACAAAAAACAAAACTACGCAACTGATTGCTGATCGATGACCAACTTAGTCAAGAGTGTTCTAATCTCCTTTAACACTCTTTTCTTTTTTCGTGATTTCCCTTGAGTTCATTTGCTTCCGATGTTATTGGTGTCCTGAAGCTTAGAATGACTCGTTTTACCTGTAGGCGTATGCTTATGTGCTCCTACCAATATGTGGGGCCTTGAATCATCTCTTTTTTTGTTCGTCAACTTTGCCTTGTCTTGGGCTTTTAAATACATGTCACGACGCCCCGGTTTCGCATTTGTCTCGACCCATCCCTGTTTTCCTTTTGTGAATGTCCAAAGCATTTGAACCATAAAAAAAACCGGTTAGATGACTAAGGACAAGACACATCCACAACAGCAAACACCGACGTCGACACAGAAGAGTAGCGATAGCAAGAGTTCATCGTCTAGTGCTGAACCTCTAAAGCTCATAAAGACTGCAGGCAATGCGGGTCTGACAAGAACATCGCAGGCGTGTGACCGTTGTAGGATCAAAAAGATTAAATGTGACGGAAAGATCCCAAGTTGTACTAATTGTCTCAACATCGGCTATAACTGTCAGACAAGTGACAAATTGACGAGACGTGCATTCCCAAGAGGCTACACGGAAAATCTCGAGAAGAACCTTATTACAATACAGAATGAGAATGCAAAGTTGATTACGGAATTGGAGATTGTCAAGCAACAGCTGTCAGCTGTCACATCATCAAATGGGTATGACTCTTCAGGTGCTGCTACTACTACTGCCACTACTACTACTGATGCCAGTGTTTCTGGCACTACAACAACACCCTCGTTGGTTATCCCTGCTAACAGCGAAAGCGCTCCAAATGAACGGGAAAGCACAAGCCCGGCTACTAGTGATCACGCACCAGTGATGATGGATAGGCTATCGGATAATTTTTTCCGTTTCGATAACTTCATTGAAAAGGACAACTATGTGGGAATTGACTGCATCAGTGTGCTTTTCAACAGAATGCTCGGATCGCTTGGGTTGAACCCGATCCAGGAGTTGAAGTACCCTGCCATTCAGTGCCCAAGTCTGAACGACTTTATCACAACAAAGTTTTTGAACAAATTCCCATCAAAGACCAATTTGGACTTACTGATATCCAACCATTTTGAGCATTTGAACACAATTCCAATTCTCGATGAGGACCTGTTTTTCAAGATCTATAAACAAATGTTCAACAGTATAGATAACAAGACTGAGAACTTGGTGAATCTTTTGCAAAAGCCCGTGAGTGGTGACGAGGAGAAGGATGAGAGCGATTGCCTGGTGTTCATCGCTACATTGGTGCTAATAATCCAGTTGAACTGTTCAATCTTCAACATCCACGAGATCCATAAATTGGTGACTTCAATTAACCTTACGGTGAACATGACAATCCCAAAGTTTCAGGTTTTACTACTATCATTACATTTGTTCCAGAATAAGAATTGCTATAAAAATACCGTGATAAATCTTGCAAACGTTGCCCATGCTGCAGTGCTGAGCTTGGGATTGCACTTGAACTACAACAACTTGAGACAGTTGAGTAACGAGTACACGAATACTAAAGAGGAAAAGTTCAGATTGTATACAGTAAGATTGAAGTTATACTGGAGTTTTTACATCTTGTCCACAATGTCTCAAGTACTCTTTGGATTACCACATGTTAGTTTCTTTGAGAAGTTCCAGGTGCCAAAGCTCAATACCATTGTGAATGCCAACCAAAACTTGAGAAACACTATCAAGTTGATTGAGCTGTTGTCAAAGTTTGAAGACGTAAACTTGTTGAGCATTGGTGATAACCCTCAAGTTTTGAAGGACTTTGATAACTATTTGCTCCAGTGGAGACAGGGGTGTGGCTTAAACAATCTGTTCAACACTTTATCCAGTGATGATATTGATGAGCATCGTCACAAGAAGGTGAAGAAGTCCAAGACTTCTTTATCACAGGATGAAGTTGTTAAGATCCAACTCAACCTGTTTTACCTAATGTTCAGAATCTCTATCCATCTACAGACGGCGAATGAACCTGGTAATCCAATATCTAGTCATTCATCATATGTGGTTTCTTTGTTGTCGAGGGAATACTTGGCCTATATCATCATCTTGGATCGCAAGAGAGAATTGAACAACCTCAACAACTTTGAATTCCACCTCGTGCCAATTAACTTTCTGAAACTCGTATTGATTTCAATGTTGAGCATCGTCCAAGTGTCTAGAGACCCATTAAACAGCACAACCAAGGTGGCCTTTAAGGATTCAAACAAGCTCATGTTACAGACGCTCAAGGTTATCAGAAGAAGATACCCTGAGAACTTTGTTCTATTCAAGGAGATTGTTCAGTTCATTAAAAACGAGTTTATGCTACAAGACTTTGAATTGGATTCTAACAGGATGAGCGTTTCTCAGCAGAACGTTACCGTTGATTCCTTCTCTACACCAATGCATACAAATTCGTTGTTCACGGATTCAAATTTTGATGCGTTCCAGCAGCGACACCAGAGTTCATCTTCGGATAACTCTAGCGTTTCAAATGTGTCTTCTATATTCAGCAATCACTATACATCGCAGAATTTCAACGGTGATGCAAGTACAGCCGCAATTCGAGCAACGGCAAACATCGCTCCCGGTGCAGAGTCAGATACATCGTCAATGGATGAGTTGCCGGAACTTGATTCCAAATTGGAAATGCTCTTTAACTGGGGCTCCACAGATACAAAAGTCCAGCAGGACTTCAAACCTTTAGATGATTCCAAAGTGTCGGGTGCAATGATGGCATATGACCTGAACTACATCATAGACAAATGATTCGACAAATTGTCCAAACTATTTTCATATTCCTTTTACTATTTAAGTATTTATACCTGTTTGTTTTATTATTGATTTTTATTTATTATGCTTCCGAGATTTGGTGTTTAGCTGTTGTAGCATGGTGGTGTGTATTTGCTGTGTCTTCATCATTAGCTGTGCGGAAATGTGATGAAACCTGCGGAAAAACATCGCATGCATATTTACCCTAGAAATGGTCATCGGCTATTGTCAGCTTTTTAGGGTTTTATTACATGTTCACTTTGTATACTCTCACTTGTAGGATGAGGATGATTGGTAATATTGTCTACCAGGTCATCGATTGAAGGAAACAAGTCAATGTAGAGGTCGGAGTATCGTCGTCCATTTGCGCTAAATAAAGCCCTCAAGAGTGAAAATTTTTTACACCAATGATTGTATTGGTAGACTTGCAAGCCGACCGTGCCTCTTTTACATATGTATGTAGCTATGGCTGAGTACACAGACCACAGATGAATTAAGAAATCCTGGAAACCCATGGAGGTTCTAGTCGAGTTATCAATACTATTAGTAAACGTTTGCATCGGAGTTCAACGTTCCATATAAAACTGTTCAACTGTTCTATGGTAGGCTGAGAATATGGTACCAAACTAGCATAGGTTAAAGAAAGCCCTCAAAAGTACACAGTACATGGAAGGGCGCTGAAGCATCTACCTTGTGACAATGAAATCATATATAAATGGACTACACACTGCACTGTCAACCTTTTTCTTCTTATCTTTAACCTAGTATAATTTATAATCAAGAATGAGTCGTGTTGCTCTTGTCACTGGTGGTGCTCGTGGTATTGGTAAGGCTATTGCTGTGCAATTGGCCAAAGACGGTTACAAAGTCGCAATTACTGGCTCATCTCAAGAAGAACTGGGATGGCAAACCGTTGAGGAGTTGAAGCAGTTGGGAACTGATGCCACTTTTATAAAAGCGGATTCCGGTGTCTGTGAACAAGTATTCAACGCTGTTGAAGAAACCTACAAGCAATTGGGTGGTTTTGACGTCATCGTCAACAATGCTGGTATCGTTCAGTGGCTCCATTGGAGGAGGTCACTCCAGCAGACTTGGAGAAGATCAACAACATCAACATCGGTGGTGTCCTTTGGGGTATCCAAGCCGCTGCTAAGAAGTTCCAGGAATTGAACCAGCCAGGTAAGATCATCAATGCCGCTTCCGTTGCTGGTCACACCGCTTTCGAGATGATGGGTGCTTACTCTGCTACCAAGTTCGCTGTTAGAGGTCTGACCCATGCAGCTGCTAAGGAATTGGCCTCAAAGAAAATCACCGTTAACTCTTACTGTCCAGGTATCGTCCTTACTCCAATGTGGGATGTGATCGATGAGAAAATGGGTGATTATGCTGGTGTTCCAAAGGGTGAGACTGTCAAGAAGTACATTAATAACATTGCTCTTGGTCGTGGTGAACAACCAGAGGATGTTGCTGGTTTGGTCAGTTTCCTCGCTGATGAGAAGTCCAACTACATCACTGGTCAAAACATTCACGTTGATGGTGGTATCATATTTGTTTAGGCAAGAAAGTTATATGAGAACTTTTATAGAGAAGAAGAAGAAGAACACTGTAGTTATAAAATCGTAGGAAACAGTTGCACAACCTTCTCATTAATAGAAACTGCTTATACCTTGGTAACTTTAAGTAATCATATATTTGAAATGATTTGTGATATGTCAATATACATCCGTAAACCAAATTCAGGGGGCTTATTATTAGATGTTTAACGGAACAGTGGGCTTGAACTCTCCCTCCATGTACATGAATGTACAATTTATATCTGTTTTGATTCAAGGACCTGTCTAATTAACCACTTGAAGTTCCAATATTCTTCGACCAATAAGCTTTCATAGTTAAACACCACAATGGTGTTTAGCACTCTGCTCAAAAACTCATACACAGCACTCTGTAGTATTAGTAATATGCCTGTGGGGCGTTAAAAATGAATCTCCTGATACACCGGTGTCACAGCAGTGTTGGAATTAATCCTGATCACTGTGATGATGTATTATACAACAACACTAAAACAATCCTGCACCCTGAGCTTCCAAGGGGAAGGTTAATTTTACGATCCCTCAGATTGAAGCTTTAAACGAGCTCTATGTATAGAGTAAAGGCGAATCCTTATTCTTCAATCACCGGTTCATCTCTCAAACATCTGTACGGTTCTGTACGATGAAAACTTTAACTAGCGGAGAAACTCAAGCATTTATGCATAATTCAGCAATCGACCCTGGAAATGGTCCGTGGGGGCTCTCCCCTCGGCAGAGCAAGAGCAGCTTGAAGTTTGCATTTGGTCGTATAAACTCAATGTCCAAACGGACCAAATGACAAATAGCCTATCATAGCTTGACATAAAGGAAAAATTCACTCCACCAAAAAGGCAATGGCGGGATTTTTTAAGTTCACCTTATGCTTTTAAAATCTTGCATTTATGCATTTTTTCTACAGCAGTGGTTATACCATTTTTGTCCCATGTGGTATGATAGCAATGTATGTTATAGATCCCAATGGGATGTGATTCTTTGATCTTCCGAATTTCAACCTCAACATACTCAGGCTTCTTTTACCTTTTAGTAAGGCTGATCATATGATGGACCGGATAATGGTTCCTGGAATATAAAAGGGATGATTCCTCCCTTAACCTCATCTAATCCTTCTTTCTTTCGCCGTTCCCTACGACTATAGAAAAAAAACTTTTTTATAATGACTCGTGTTGCTCTCGTCACCGGTGGTGCTCAAGGTATTGGTAAGGCTATTGCTGTGCAATTGGCTAAGGATGGTTACAAAGTTGCCATCACCGATCTTTCCTTCCAAAAGGAGTTGGCTTTGAAAACCGTTGAGGAGCTGAAGAAATTGGGCACCGATGCCATCTTCGTTGAAGCTGATTCTTCTAAGCGTGAACAACTCTTCAACGCTGTTGAGGAGACTCACAAGCAATTGGGTGGTTTCGATGTCATCGTCAACAATGCTGGTATCGTTCAAGTGGCTCCATTGGAGGAGGTCACTCCAGCAGACTTGGAGAAGATCAACAACATCAACATCGGTGGTGTCCTGTGGGGTATCCAAGCCGCTGCTAAGAAGTTCCAGGAATTGAACCAGCCAGGTAAGATCATCAATGCCGCTTCCGTTGCTGGTCACACCGCTTTCGAGATGATGGGTGCTTACTCTGCTACCAAGTTCGCTGTTAGAGGTCTGACCCAAGCTGCTGCTAAGGAATTGGCCTCAAAGAAGATCACCGTTAACTCTTACTGTCCAGGTATCGTTCTTACCCCAATGTGGGATTTGATCGATCAGAAGATGGGTGATTATGCTGGTGTTCCAAAGGGTGAGACTGTCAAGAAGTACATTGGTAACATTGCCCTTGGTCGTGGTGAACAACCAGAGGATGTTGCTGGCTTGGTCAGTTTCCTCGCTGATGAGAAGTCCAATTACATCACTGGTCAAAACATTAACGTTGACGGTGGTATTGTCTACATCTAATCTTATTTATAGCTACACTAATGAAAGTATCATGTCTATTTTTCATAGATTTAACAATGCTCTCCATCGATATATGAACAACAAGATCGTAGTTCTCTATGGCTTAACTTTGCAATGTTGTGACATTTCACCTTGAGTGACGTCAATGACGGGAATTCCAGTTGACCAATCTGTCCAACATTCCATGTGGGTAGTAAAAGTTCAACTTCCTTCAAATTTGGAGCATATAGAGAGAGGTTAAACTGCTTAACTTCACCAAACTCCACAGTGTCATGGATTTTTAAGGTCTTGAGATTTGGGAACGCAATTGGATCCGCCACATCTGTAAGAAATGAAATATCGACACCTTTTATGAAGAGATGTTGCAATTGTTCAAAGATTATAAACTTGTGAACAACGCACCCGTTTGATGATAATGGATCAAACAGAAGATCAAGAAATAGGCTTGTTGTATCTCTAAACATTGTGATCAAACTCCGCAAGTGTTTCGTTTCAGTTTCCATCTCTGGAACATCCAAGCAAACACCACATTGGTCAATTGTTAAGCTTGTGACACCTTCTGCACTGATCACTTCAGGTATATAATCTATATGGTCTGTCATGAACCTAACCTTTGACAAATTCTGATAACTCATGAGAAGTTTGGATGTTGCCAAAGGTGCATGAGAAAGGTCAACTTCAAGGTGACTTAAGCAGGTAAAATCAGGATGGAACTCTTCTCTCAAGGGTTCAACAAAATCAACCAAGCTTAGTCTTCTGACACTGTTGAGGAACTCATAATCTGTAGTGGTATCAACCCTAGAATAGTACTTAAATGCAAACCTCTCTGGTGACATATCATCTGAGGTAACACTTTTTGTGATCTTTAACACTTCCAATTGTGAAAAATCACACTGTGTTACCCTGGGGAACTGAGAACCAGAGAAATACAACTTGAGAGACGTTTTCCCATGTGTGAAACTTGTTGCAGTCATTTGTGGTCTTCCCATACTATTATGGAGCACGTCGTTATTCGCAGATGAAAATCCAATGCTTGCCTCATTCTCAACGTGAAATGTACAATTCAAAACTTTATGAAAATTCTTAATGAGAAGTTTATCGCAATTCAAAGAGACTCCTTGGATAACTGCATCATTTCTTGTGTTATCTTGGAGAAAAAGCATGATGTTTGAGTATGCTTAGTCTAATGTTGCATGTGTAAAGAAAGAATCATCACAACTCTCGAATGTGGTATAAAACCAGTCACCAGAAATATTAAAATTGGAAGATGCATGACAGTCTTTAAAAGATACCTCTAACTTCACATCTGCCTCGCAGCTTATGTGGAAGTCAGTTGAGCCAACATCAATGTTGTTAAATTTAAGCTTTTGGTTAGAGCTGGCTTTAATGTGCACTTGTGAAAGCCTAGAAATCATATCAACAATCATGGACTGTGGTGACTCATAAGGAAAGAAAACGTTCGTAAACTTTGCAAATTTAACGTTCCTTTTATTATGATCTAGGATCTGTAAGTCAATCGGGTCTTCAATCGATAGAAGGCGCTGCTCCAAAGGAACCCTAATCATTGGTGACTCGAGGGTAAGTGATTGAGGGAAGCAGAAGATATTGTAAGAAGTTTTCGTCATCGACACCAATGATTTATAGTCCCACCATTGGAAGTCTGCAAAGTGAATAATATGAATGTAAGGATTAGGGCAAATCAGTGTTTGTGCCAACATCCTTCTACTATAAACAGGCAAGAAATGCCTAGCATAGGTGTAAAGCTCCTGGTCATCTGTTATGAGGTGAACTTTCCTGGAATAATCAATTTTTTCTGGTTTCACAGCTTTTGCTAGATTAATAAAGTCATGAACACTTCCCAAGTACGTCATAACTTCAAGCTGAACCTCAAGTGGGAGTCTCAAAAAGCAGAAACATTGAGTAGACAAACGTAGCATTTCAAGAGAAGACTGTGACACTACGATTTGTTGTTTTTTGCTAGGACGAAACCAAAGAATATCATTAGTTGGTTTGGAAGGAAACACCTTCTGTCACTTTCTTTAAGTACTATTCTGCTTAAGATCTCCGAAGGCAAGGCGAAATGTATTTGAAAGGCCTCAAAACTTTCTCAATTTTGCATTTGGCCGTACGATGTATGTACATCACTACTTTTGTGTCAAAGAACATCCAAACATCTTACCCGATATTGGACACTTCCGAGGGATATTTACGTATTATCTGACTGCCGTTTACGGGAAACAGAGCTCGAAATGGTGGAAGTAGTACAGCCTCTCTTTATTACTGCTCCATTATCCACTATGCTATTAAACCTTACTAACAAAGTTGGTGGTGAGGTTTCAAGCGTTTCATTACTACGCTGGACAAAAGCTTTAATAGGACCTTCTCATTTTGTTTCTGAAAACAGAACCACTTCCAGTAGAGTAAAATCATTTGATTGCCCTTATTTATCGGCTATAGGGTCATTAATTCCTGTAGACTCACATATAAATGTGAAATGTATTCCTAATATGTATGTATTCCTATTGCTTATGTAATTGTTTGGTTAACGCGTTATGTAAGTTGGTAAAGGCAACACTCTCCGAGACATAAACAAACAAAAAGCTCCCCCGATGCTCACATACCAATTTGACACGTTCTGTATAACACGATTGTATCCCAAGTAGCCTTTAATTGTTGACAAATGAGGTGGATAATCCTCTTTGTGGTTCTCACGATCCATTTAGCTGGCCTGCTTCTCTTTTGTATGGGATTTTTCCCTTCAAAAGTTGTTCTTCCGGGATACGGACAATTCTCATCTGATGATGCCTTTGATCCCCAGTTTAACAAGGTCATCGTGATGGTTGTTGATGCATTGAGAAGTGATTTTGTGTTCAGTGATCGATCCTCAATGGAATTTGTTCAGGGCTTGCTAAGAAAGGGATCTGCAATTGGCTACACTGCCTTTTCAAACCCTCCCACAGTGACGTTACCTAGATTGAAAGGTATCACTACTGGCTCGACGCCGAATTTCTTGGATGCTGTTTTGAACGTGGTTGAGGATGATACGTCATCTACACTGGCAAATCAAGATAGTTGGCTGAAACAGCTCAAGATTGGCAATAAAAAAATCCACATGTTTGGTGATGATACATGGATAAAGCTGTTTCCTGGTGAGTTTGATGTCAGTGAAGGTACCAGCAGTTTCTTCGTGTCTGATTTCACAGAGGTGGACAATAACGTTACACGTCATTTAGATCAAGAGTTGAACGAACAGAAATGGGATTGCTTAATTTTACACTACCTTGGACTGGATCATATCGGCCATAAAGGTGGACCAGAGTCTACCTTTATGCGTCCAAAGCAGAAAGAAATGGATGAAATTGTGAAGCTAATCTATGATGCTATGGAAGAAGACACTTTATTTGTGCTTTTAGGAGACCACGGTATGAATGAAATCGGAAACCATGGTGGGTCCTCAGCTGGAGAAACATCTGCAGCGTTGGTTTTCATAGCTGACAAGTTACAGGAATTGAACAAAACGTCCCAATCTCCCCTGAGATACAACGATGAATTCACTTACTACGAAAGAATCCAACAGATTGACCTTGTTCCAACTCTTTGTTCGCTACTAAGGCTCCCAATCCCAAAAAACTCTCTTGGTGTTTTCATTAGAGATTTCCTATCCTTGTGGCCTGAAGATCAAAGAAAGTTTGTACTAAAGGAAAATTTGCTTCACTATGATGATTTCAAGAAGAATGATTTCCCAGGGGATCCTTCAGAGTCAGAGACTTATGAATGGCTATATGAAGCTCAATCTGAGTTGACTAGATCAGCCTCGAATTATAACATGCCTTTAATTTATTCCGGTGTTGCAGCTATTGCAGCTGCTACTATCCTTACTTTGTGGAGATGTTTCAAGCTTTTCAAGAACCAAGCAATCATTATGATCTCAATGACATTCATTTATAGCGTAACAGCATTTGGGAGTAGTTTAGTGGAGGAAGAGCATCAAATTTGGTGGTGGTTTGCTACTTTTTTCGTTGTGATTTTTAGCTATGATCAACCAGTTGTCAGTGCTTTCTCACTGCTTCTTTTGAGGTTAATTAGAGGCTGGAACAATAGTGGTCAAAAATTTGTTGGTGATACCGTATATCGGTACCTAGATGAAAATTATCATCTGAATTGGATTCTCATTGCTATTACAATCTCTTCAATCTCATTCAGTTTGAACCAAGGGGGCTTCTCTAAAACATATCCAGTGGTTGGATTCATTTCAACCTTTACAACTTCTCTCTGTTTGTTCAGCTTCAAACTGATGTACTCGGTTATAAATGGAGATCAGATCCCAAAACAATTGAACAGACTCGTGGAATTTTCATTGGACTTGACTAACGTTGAAAATGAACACGAAGCCCTTGTGGAAGTTGCCAAACTTTTCTTCACATGTGTGATTGGTTTGATATCAATTAGGCTATTCCTGCGTTTTTTCGCTGGCAATAATTACTGGTTCTACACTGATTTGCACAATATCTTGACACTTGTGTTAATTTTTCAGACTTCCATTCCTAACATTGGTCTCTTTTTGGTGTTATTCTCTTTGAAGAACGTTGTTGGATATATCGTTGGAACGTTTGTCGACTACGATAATGCCAAAGTTATTGGCTATACCTCGATTGCCCTGGTAATACTTCAAAATCTGACCTTTTTCAGTTTTGGTCAAACAAATTCCTTGAACACTGTTGATTTATCCAATGCTTACAACGGTATCAAGAGCTATAACATTTTCGCAGTTGGGTTGCTCACATTTCTGTCGAACTTCGCCGGCCCAATATACTGGGAATTTGCCTCATTGCCTATTTTCCTTGAGAACTCTTTAGAATATAAAGTTTCCAAAGGTGAACTGTTCAGTATTAGATGGAGTACCAATGCTCTTTTCTACTGTTTAAGCACGTTTTTCACTGTTATTAGTTGTGTCGTCCAGAGATACCACTTGTTTATCTGGACAGTTTTCAGCCCAAAGGTGCTATACACACTAGTGTGGAACTTATTCATCAATTTCGCTGTGGAGATAATAATTCTCTTTGTCGCTTTAATCATTTGAAATATATATTAGAGACCATACCTATATTGGTGGAATTATAAACGCTATATGGTTGAATGACAATATATTGATACCATTATCCCTACAGAGCCGTATTCAAATTGTGTATAGTAGAATGGTAGATCTCTCATCCTCAATCACTTCAAGCTTCAAGGAATTCTTGACAGTTTTTAGGTGATATACTCAGAATAGTCAGCTTTATGGAATTGGCAAATGATTTGATCTCACCAACCACACTTCTATCAATTACACTAAACAAAGTCGACATTCATGTCGTAAATAAACAAGCGCGCGCTTTTATACTGTTATCATATAGCAGTATAAACTGCTACACATCAGACTCATTTTTATACTCCATTATCTAACCGAATAACAATTCCTTTCATGAGCTGCAAATCATCAAGTCTTTGAGAATCTACTTGATTTTGTTTTGTTCTCATGTTGATTGGGAAACGCTAAATCCTAACATGGGAAAATAGACACTCACAAATTAGTGCTTTGTAGTCAAATGCTCTAAGAAAAACCAAACATTAACGAATCAATATTGCTATAGGCTTTTGTTATCCAAAGGTTACTATAATATCTGTGTAATGAATTGCCTAGGAAAGTCTTACAGATATAGGCAGTACAGCTATTGTGTCCCGGTAACAAAAGATGGAAAAGGACAGAAAGAAAAAAATGAAAACTTCGACGAAATTCATCAATTTCAAAGATTAATTGGCATTAAAGGAAACAGCTTCAAAAGATGTTCAGATTTGTTGCCAGAAGAACACTCTTCACCTCCTCCATTCTTCGAAACAGTACAGCACAAGCTACTACTGCTACTACTGCTAGTAATGCCGCTAAGGAAACAGCTGCTAGCACTGTCACTGTGAAGTCTTCGTGCAAAGCCGGTACTTCACTCAATTTGAAGGTGAAGAAGTCTGGGGAAGATCCAGTTGCATTAGAGGACAGTGAGTACCCTGAATGGTTGTGGACTGTGCTAGATCCAAAGGCTCAACAGGCAAAGCTGGACAGTGACCCTGCAAAAAAGGCTAAGAAAGAGATGAGACTCAGAAATAAGAAGAAGATAAAAATGAACAACTTTATTGCTCAGATGTGAATTGCAAACTTATGAGATGAACCAAACCTGTACATAGCTCAATATAACAAAGAAATAGCTCAATATTTTATCTGTCTTGTCATCATCACTGATGTAAATGATGTAATTACTTTAACCCTAAAACATCCGAACACCACAATCTTTCGAAGAGGGAAAAAAAAAGTAAACAACAAAAGTTAACAGCTGTTGAAGAGATCAACAACTATTTGAGATCAACACGAGCGGTTAGTAGGAGCGATGTCGTTTTTAGAGAAATTACAGGGACAAGAGATCGTGAAGAGGATTGTGAAAGAGTCCAGTAGCTCTATTCCGTTTTCAGCCTCCAAGTTAGCACAGAGAAATGGATCAGAGCTATTCTTTGCTCATCAATCCACGGTGAGATGTGCAAGAATTCCAGACTCGACGAGTTATAAAGTACTTGACATACCAGAAATACAGTTCCAGATTGACGGGCTGAAGCTGAACAGTTCGGGAACTTTACTTGCTGTGTATAACCGTAACAATTTGGTCATCACAACGTTACCTTCATCTCAGTTCATGACCACACAGGAATCTTTGATCAAAGTGAAATCGTTTGTCATTGCAAGGGATTTAATCTGCTCGTTGAAGATTGTTGACTTGCAATGGAATAAAGTATCAAGATTTGACTCTACTGTTGTTGTACTCTTTGAGGATGGTGCTTTAAGATGTTTTGACCTGAGTTACTCTCTTGATGAACCAAATTTCGTATACAACTTGACCGTTTCTAGTAGAAACCAAGTTGGATATGCCACTGACGTTGTTGATGACCCTGTAGCTATAACTTTTGGTTCGGAGGATTCGTTGAATGGGCAATTGATATTGTACATCTTGAATTCTGAAGGTGATGTTTTTTCAATTTATCCTTTCTACCCAAGGGAGATTGCTGTTTCCAAGGATCAAATCGAGGAGCTGCTTAATGAAACTATCTTACTGACAAATAGAATTGTTGATAGCGATTCAAATGTACTTGAAAAGAAATCAGCTATCAATCAATTGAAATTTGTCAAACATTTATGGGCTCAAGTTCCAACTGCACAAACAGAGACTAGAGGCACACAGAGACTACTAGTTCTCAAACCTGACTCTTCACAGTCGATGGTTACACAGGGTCCTTATTCCATTGAGCCATTCCCAGATACTTTGTACACAGATAACGCTACTGGGATAAGTTTTGTTAATTGCGGATCTGTCGATATCCTCATCATTGCATGCGAGAAAAGTGGGCTTCTTTTCCTCCTTCCTGATTGGAACATTACTATGAAGTTTAGAAATCAAGATTTCGAGGAATTTGTCATATTGAACGAGAGTGGTGAGTTTGCGCCATCTTTGACCCTGTTAGAGTTCAAGAAATCTCAACATCCAGCACAGATTTCATTATCACCATTCACATGTAAGAACAAAGTTTTCCTGAAAAGAGAAAATTGTATCTACAAAGTGGATTTAGAACTATGGGCAAACGAGCTTGAAAGTTATTTACAAAAAGGTGACTCAGAATCGCTTGCCAAAGTACTCGAGTCTGATTTCAACTCGGATTTGGAGCTGTTAACGACTCTATCACCAAATGAACAGTATGAAGGACTTGTTATATTGGAGGATGAGTACTCGAGTAAATACGTGGCTGTGCTAACTTCTTCAAACTTTAACGTGTTTTTGTTGTCTCCCGAGACACAGACTGAGAGTCCTAAGGATAATGTTGACATTGCACCCATTTACTATAAAACCAACCTGGATTCAACGCCATTCTTTATGATCGACAAGTTGGTTCAAGACATTCGAAAATTCAAGATTTCTGCACCAAGTGGATCGAATAACGTTATTCAGCTTGACGAAACCGGATTGCGTGATGTAAAGGATATAAGCACACAGGTTTTGGAAACGTTGGTCAACTACCATAAATTCGTAATGAGTTTGAACTACAGAGTTGATGCTCAAAAGAAAGAGTTTGTCAGGCAAATCGACACTACCAACGATCTTTTACAAAAGTTGGACAAAGTTGAAGAGAAACAAGTCGATAACAGTGAAAGTATACTGAGGATCACACAGCGCCATGAGGCGTTACAAAAGAGACTGGCAACACTTGCGGAGAAATTTGACAAGAGTACCGATTTACCACTGAGCAACTCTGAGAAGGGATGGTTTAAGGAGATTCAAAAAACTACGTTATCCTTCAACAAGTCTGTTAAACAACGCAATTTGTTTGCACAACAACTGTCCTTTATCAAAAAAGAGATCGACTCCAAAAAGTTTCGCAAGGAAGAAGATCAAGAATTTGGAGAGCAAAATTGGGATAGCATTAACGATATTCTCAAGGAGAGTAAAAAACTTTTGACTGAAACGTCTGGAAGATTAAAGCAAAACTTCTTACAGCTGGAAGCTGGCAATAAGCAGACGTTCGTATAATTATATAATGCTTATATAAATCCATCCTTTCATAAGTAGTTTTCATTAAAAATCAGTGACACGTCCGTTGAAGGAGTAATCACCGTGTTTGAGAGGATCCTGCTTTGGACCACCAATTTCACCAGTCTTTGGGTTAACATCACCTTCAAATTCTGGAATGGTTCTGAAATACTCTGGGGAGAATCCACCAATATCTACACCGGCTTTGTCCATGTACGGGGCAGCAGTTGGGTCATCTTCCTGTGATATAGAGTTGTTGTATTCCTCAATGGCTATTTGGGAAGCTGCAATCTTTTGAAGCCTTTCGAACTCTTCCTGCTCCTCCTTTGGTAACTTTGGAGGTCCTGGTGTGATTGTGAAGTCCGATTTGAGAGAGTAAAGACGCACAGACGTTAATGGAACCCTTCTTGCAAGTCTCAGGGTTTGTAATCTCAGCATGTTGCAAATAGTTCTCGATTTTACTTAACACGCTAATGGCGACAATGGAAAGAATACTCCATTTATGGGTGCGATCTCGAAGGCGTAAAAACTACAGTGGGGGTTGGCTAAATTTATGATCGGTAAAAGTTACCCGGGGTTAACAAATGGTAGGGACAGCATAAGGAAAAACTTTCATTTCACTACAAATTTAGATGGGAGATGAGCTCGAGTGATTTACACTTATTAACCGTTGTAGTATTTTAACAGGATCCTTCAGCGATGGACAACGCTTCACAAGAAGAAGATGTGCTGAAGACGATTATGCCACTTCTGGCCCCGGTAATTAGAGCATCCGCTGGATTAGCCTCAAATGATATCAACTTCTATACCAGTACAGAGCCGGACATCGCTAGACACAGTGATGAATCATCAGGTGCGCTATTGAAATTGATTAACGATGTTGTATCTTCTGTGGAGTCTAACGAGGTTGGTGAAGTTCAAGATAAGACTATGAAGGAGAACTGGTCTCTTATGAGTAACCTGATTGACGAATTTTTGGAGAGATCAGACATTGCTTTTGATTCTCTAAGAAAGTCCACAGGTTCTGGTGGGGCTAGTCAAAAGCAGATGAAGTATTTGGATGATTCAACCAGTATCCAATCCCAAAGTGGAACCCAGAGGAGACAAGACAAGCCACAGAGGAAGTTTTCTAAGCCGGTGGATAATTCTGAATCGCACCCTTTTAGGCCATCATTGACATCAAAGCCTAATGCCATCGTACCCTTCGAAAGAACCTTTGACCTTGTCCCAGAGGAAGAGGGTATCCCAGAGCACTATAAACAACCATACGAGACGGAGATTTTGAACCAGGACTATCGAAGCGAGATATTGGAGATTTGTGAACCGCAATTATACAAAGATTGGGATGCGACGGATGCTATCTGGGTTGATACACCAGAGACATTGAAACAGATGCTGGAGAAGCTAGAAAATGCCACAGAAATTGCCGTGGATTTAGAGCATCATGACTATAGATCCTATTATGGTATTGTCTGTTTGATGCAGATTAGTACCAGAGAGCAAGATTGGCTTATAGACACTTTAGCATTACGTGATGAATTACAAGTGTTGAACTCGGTCTTTACAAATCCAATGATCACAAAGGTTTTCCATGGTGCATTTATGGATATCATATGGCTACAGAGGGATTTGGGGTTGTATGTTGTGAGTCTGTTCGATACGTACCATGCATCTAGACAATTGGGATTCCCTAAACACAGTTTAGCCTATTTATTGGAGAGATTCGCACATTTTAAAACATCAAAGAAGTACCAATTAGCTGATTGGAGAATACGTCCATTGACAAAGCCAATGAGGGCATATGCAAGATCTGACACCCATTTCTTGTTGTATATCTACGATCAGTTGAAAAATATGTTGATACAGTCAAATAAGCTGGAGACAGTCTTATTCGAATCGAGAAATGTTGCCGTGAGAAGATACGAGTATTCAAGATACAGACCAAAAAATAGCGGTCCTAACAGTAATGTTGTATCTTTGATTGAGAAACCAGATCCATGGAAAAGTTTACTGTACCAGTACAACTTACCAATGTCTAGAGATGGAATAGTTCGTGCCTTGTATGAATGGAGAGACTCCATGGCGAGACAGGAAGATGAATCTCCAAGATACATTATGCCAAACCAGTTATTAGTTTCTCTGGCCTCGTTGGCTCCAACTGACCCTGCAGGTGTACTTTCTGCAAGCACAATGATATCTGAAGTCGTCCGCAAGAATTGTAAAGCCATTGCAGAGTTAATTGCTGGAAAACTCCAGGACACAAAAATGGAAGATATCAAATTGTTAAACGAAGCAACAAGCCATGCTTTAGATGAGGGTGAAATCCAAGTCACTGAAGAGTCCGTCTTAAAGGAAGAACAACTATTCAAGGCGCTACAAACTTCCTCAGCCATTCCGTTGCAACTCAGAAAGTCTTCCCAATTACTTTCGTCCAAAATGATTTCTCAGAAACCATTTGTCAAATTCAGATCGAGTGAGACAATTCCTCAAAGTATCAATGATCGTAAAAAGATGGTTCAGTCTCTTTTGAGCAAGTTTACCCAGACACCAGAGTTGGTTGATTCTGAGCATGGAGACAAAGACATGGAAGTTGAAGATATCTCACAACCTGCTGTTCCACCTGAACCACTCGAGCAAGAGGAGTCTACATCGCAGCCATCAATAATGTTTAAGAATACTGAAGATATTATTGTCCTGAATGAGAAGAAGAAACCAATCAGCAAAGTTGTAAAAAGAATACAACAGAGAGGAGAAGCTTTCGATTACTCAAAAGCAGACAAAATTATCAAGGAACCTTCTCGCAAAGACAGGAAAGATAAAAAGAGATCCTCTAATCAGTTTGATCCTTACACAAAAGAATCTGAAGGTCCAAGACCGGCGAAGAAGCAATCGAAACCTCACCAAGGAAAGACTGCAACTTTCAGTAGCAAAAAGAATAGACGTTAAAGTACATAATCTAATTTCAAAGACAGACGATTGTCATTTAATATGTATCATCTATATAGAAATTGAATTCTGTAACTTAAAGATATTTCTTCAACTCTCTAAGTCTAACAACAGCCTTTTCTAAAACGTCATTGTCTTTACAAAGTGCGAAACGAAGAAGATTCTCAGCAACATGCTCATGCTCCTTGATGTAGAATTCAGTTGGAGGAATGGAAACAACACCAAGTTCATTAATTAACCAGTAGGCCAATCTAAAGTCCTTAGCACGAGCCTTGAATTCTGCTGGGAATTCATAATCTTCTGGAATCTTCACCTTGGAGAAATCAACAAGCAAGTAGTAAGCACCATCTGCAACAGTATATGGAAGACCCAACTCTTCCCAAACCTTGGTAAAGATCTCATACTTCTTCTTGTACTCAGAACGAGTTTTTTCAAAGTATTGATTCTTGGTCACTTCATCGAAAGCAGTCGCAACAGCTTCTTGAAGGGGAGCAGGTGAAGAGAAACAAATTCTTGTATGTGCTAAGGCAGCATACTTTATCAATTCTGCATTACCAATAACCCAACCGATTCTCCAACCAGTAGCAGCAAATGATTTACCAGCAGAGAATATTGAGAATGTTCTTTCTGCAAAGGCAGGTGATAAAGTAGCGATTCTTGGGAAGTCGTCACCATAGTAGAGATTCTCATAAACTTCATCGGAAACAATCAAAAGATTATGCTTAACGGCCAGGTCACCAATCTTGGTAAGTTCCTCTTTGTTGAAGATCTTTCCAACTGGGTTATGGGGAGTGTTGATAAGGATAAACTTAGTCTTGTCGGTTATAGCAGCTTCTAGCTCGTCGTAATCGACTCTCCATTCAGATCCCTTAACATTACGCTCTGAAATTTCCTTTGGTGGATGCAGTGGCACGTAAACAACTTTTCCACCTGGAAGCTCGATATTGGAAATGTATTGATCGAAGAAAGGTTCGAAGACAATAACCTCATCTCCTTTTTCGATAAACCCAGTAAGGATGGTTAACAATGCCTCATTGGCACCTGTTGTGACAAGGATCTCATCTGTCTTTATTTCCCTTCCATAGCGCTTACTGTATGTTTTGGCAAGGGCGTTCAACAAACTTGGCTTACCCCTGGTATGAGCATACTGGTTGTTTAATGGCACATCCAATGCATCTTTGGCAGCCTGAATGACAAAGTCAGGAGGTGAATAAGAGAAGAATCCTTGACCCAGATTGATAATCTCGCGGTCACTTTGAGTGGCTGCGTGAGCAGCTGACTCATTGATAAGACTCCAGATGTCCTTTCCAGAGGCATTGAAGTATGGATTATGACTTGGTAATGATGACATTGTCCTAACGATTCTCGAAGTAGTGGTCTTTATCATCCAATTGATTAAGTTCTGAGAAAGAACTGGGTTAACTTTTTGTTGATGCTCTCTGTGACCTTTTTTCAATTTAAAATCTTGCGAATTGTGGCTTTTATCTTTCCATCTTTGTCACGTCGGCGTTCTCACTCATTCTGGGAAACAAAGCTTCGGAGGCGGGCAGTATAAGGCGTTAGAAGGAGCCACACGCACAAACACATAAACAAATACTGGGGCTCACTACGAACTGTATATGATTCCAGCACTTGAAAACCATTACTGTTTTCTCTTGTATAGAAACGTTGGATATAAGTGTATTTCATAATATATGAGAGTTCAGAATCGGGGAACAGAGAAGTGTTTGGAATTTTATATAGGTAGTTGAACAGGCTCCTCTTCATCAGGTTAAAAAAACCTCGATGGAGTAAAGACATCACACCATTATACCAATGGCTAACAAAAAGTCCATGCCTTTGATCTATTAGAATGATACTAATAGAAAATAGCGACCCGATCTTCAAATTTTCCCAAAGTATACCAAAAGGTAACTAATACATGAACCAAGAACTGTACAGAGTTTGGGCATGTAATCTTCAATACAGCATGAGATATAACCATTCATAGTTTGTATGGTATGATCAAGAAAAAAGCATAAATTTACTTATATCTCAGCAACGAAACAAGATTTGTGAAATCTGGCGAGGAAAATAAAAGAAAAGATCTACATAATCATATATACACTCATTTTCAGATTGATTGGATGAGTGGTTCTTCCAAAAGAATATCCCCGTTTATAGATATATGTAATTCTAGTTCTCAGTTGCCCCAGCAATAGTAAAAATGTTAGGATGTTTCTAATTTAATAGGCATTGTTTACATTTTGAATTCTTATCAACACAAAATGACACAAAATGACACAAAACCAATACAGCTTTATACACAAAAGTGGAAACATCACAAACAAAAAAAGGCCTAAGCTTAAAGAAGAAACATCAACAGCCAATCCAGAACCACAGCGGCAGCTTCAAACGAATGGAGATATGACACAACAGGAGGACCCACAAATTAATGAGACAGACTAACTGACCGGCTATGAGAACAAGACACGAAGCTAAGAAACCTCCAAGTTCTGTCATGGAATATCTATGTAGAGATCACAGACTTACCACAACAGCCGCCGTTACCTGAACTTGATAGTGGAACTATGGCTGATAGAATAAGAGGCAGGCCAAGAACTGCGGCAAAGGTAGCAGAAAGGTCGTTAGAGGAAATTAGACGTGATGGTGCTTTTGACCATGATCCCGACTTTGAACACATCATTAAACGTGAGACCAACGGTTTTAATGAGAATGATAGTTCAACCTATGAACAACAACAACTGCTGAAATCACGGAAACCACCAAACTCAGTATATCATCGACGTGGCCTTGAAAAGTGTTGTGATTACTGCTATGCTCTCCTTATCGATGCAGAACTACCATCTTTTTGTTGCGACAGGGGCAAAGTTTTACTTGGTGACATATTCAAAGAACCTCCACAGTACATGAAGGATATCTTATTGGATCTAATCACATCCAAATATTCTCGAACAACCAGTCCTGTTATTTCATTATCATCCTTAGGTTCTAACAGTACTGGTGATTCGTGAGGTGGAACTTATTCAATGACCAACAACGACCGTTTATTCCATAGGGTTGATGGTTTGATAGCTCAGGAAAATGGAGAAGAGAAGTTGGCTGAAACTCATACACTAAATCCAGGCTTAGCTACAAATCTTCATTTTGAATTGATTAGAAATGTTTTTCAGAACGATGAAGAGTATAATAAACTCGAGACGGCCTACATTAGGAAGATTGATAAGTTTCTCTCTCAACAAATTAGTTATGCACAGCTGTTATACACCGCTAGAGAACTTGTTCAACAGGAAATTACACAAAAGGGGTTAACCAGAAGAGAAATTATCGTGGAATTTGCGAATATTGAACTGACGGCACTAACAAACCGAGAACATCAAATTACCAGGTCTTCAAGAGTTTACCTTGGTACGCAGAAGCAATAACAGCAGAACCTACTTCAATTTCAGTGTGAGGGAAAGATCTACAGGTCACTTCAATTTTATCAATACTATGTGCAAAAGTGTTTTTTTTTTTCTTTGGGTTTTCTTTTTTTATTAATTAAGGGGGGGGCCAATTTTTTTTCTTCTTGCCGTTCTTCAATTTGTTTTCTTTCCCCCTTTTGGCTCTTTTCCCCGGGTTTGGGCTTCCGTTTTTCGAGGCTTTTTCGGGGTTTCTTTTGTTTGTTTTCAGGATTTTTCTTTTTTTTAACCGGGGGCCCAGGGATTTAAGTTCATTCCCGCGGGTTGTCGCGGTGTGCGTGTCTCTCGCGAGTGTCCTTCTCGGTGTCTGTGTTTTAGGCCTTGCGGTTTACTTTTTTTGTTAAATTGTTTGAAGTCCCCCAAGTTGGCCTTTTTTTTTTTTCTTTTTTTTTTTGGCCGTTGGTTTTTCTTGGTTATTCCTTTTTTCAATTTTTTTTAGTTAAAATATTTGATAGCAGGCCCTCCTGTCTTAGGAGACCAATCACCAAACGTTTTATTTTATTCTCAGATAAAATGAAGCGTATGTGTGAGGAGGAAGCAAAATATCAATTCTCAGTTTTTGAAAACAGCAAATGACTAATTTAAAACAATCTAGGAAACGTTTCCATGAATCAACTCGATCCAGTACAGAATTTACTGGAGCGGTATATAAAACCAAAATTAAATCTTTAATGCATTATTGTTAAATAACATTTCCATGGTCTCTACTTTCCATATCTTCAAACAACGTGATCTCTATCAAAATTTGAATATATTTATTCAAAATAGGAAAACTAGTTTACTAATATTTGATCTTACACACATGTCAAAAGCTTTATTTCATTATATCATCTGTTTTACAAGCCGAATATATTCTACTTGATTTGAAATGTCTTAGGTCAATAGTCAGATATAATCAGTTAAAGAAAAACAATACAAGAAAGAAAAAAATACGAAAAACACAAACACCAAAGAAAATAAAAACTAGAGTGAATAGGGAAACACATGCCAAACAAAAAAAGCAGAGAAGAAAATAAAATGCATCTATAATAAAGAATAGAAAACACGAAACAGGTCTCACAAAATTTTTAATGCGTATTTCCATACAGTTTCACTCTCATAGAAATGGTTATACAACTATTAAGATACCACGAACTTCTCCCATATAAATCTTTCCTGGATCAATTTCGGTCCCAATACTCGCATCATGCAAAATATAGTCTTCATAATTGTGAGATCATAATTTATCCTTAAACAGTTCTTTTTGAGTTTAATCTATACTCTCAAATATTTGTGAGTATCTGAATATGACATTGTTCTAAGTTTTGTGGTGATGCATTTAGACTATTTTGAATTAGATTTAAGACGAAAGTTCCACATTTTGCTCAATATTCTAGTCCTGATTTCTTCTCGCGTACTTGCTGGGTCTGTGTTTTTCTATTCTTTCTTGATTTGATTAATGCCACTTCGAATGAATTAATTTTTCGTGTTTATGTAGGCACGAAAAGAAATACTGCTAAATGTATTGCTGCATTTTTATTGAATATCAAGAGATCAGAGAATGAATGGAGTTGGGGTATAATCGCATGATGTGTGTTTTATGAGAGGAGACATACCATGTAAAGAGTTTCAACCAATTTTACAGAATGAATGGAGATTCACAATACAGCAAGTATTAAAATTATATTAAAGTGTCAACGGATGGTGATTCGCTTCACATTTTAATCAGTTGCATCTTACCACTAGCTCTTACTTATTAGAGAAGTTATGTCTTTTTACTGATAATAGTTGCGGCCTTCGACATTTATCATTTGACAAATCTTTGTGGAGATAAATGAAGTTTAGGAACATTTAAATTGTCAGATATGTTCTAGTTTGCTGCATTGTGTAATTTGAATTTTTAAATGAATAAATAGTGGGATATCATAATAAAGGACTAAGTATGTATTAAGTAATACTTATGATATATTTTTGAAGATATACTCTTTGGATGAAGATCTCTTAAACCAATGATCTTCTTTGTGAGATTTTGTGAGAACATATTCGCTTTTATTTCAGTACAATTTTGTTTTCTTTGATTGTGTTGTTTGATATCGACTCCTGCTGAAGTGTCTCTGTTGTATATGCAATGATATCATGGAGGGAATGTTTTTGGATATTCTTGATTGAATCTTAAACGAATATATGAAGGAAAAAGTAAATTTAAAAATGTTCAAACAAAAGAAAAAAAAAACAAAAACACAAGAAAAAGAAAAGAACAATAAAAAGAGAAAAGCCAAAATAGAGGAAACGAGGTTTATATAAAAAATGCCAAAAGACATGTCCTGTTATGTTTCGTTGTGTTTTTGTTTTGTTTTATTTTATGTTTGTTGTTTTTCAAATTGATGGGTGACAAGCTCAGTAAAGAATTCAAAAAGGTATGGTTTCAAAATGGTAATTGTTTTGTGAAGAATTGTGTTGCATGATGTAAATATGTTGGTAGAATTAGACAAGACTTGATCCCTCTTTAATAAAATGATGATTCTTGGAACGAATGAAATCAACGCCTAAAGAGTTTTCTTGAACTGCAGGGTAAGATTTCGTTTAAGTGTTGTAATGATACTAATTTGTGTACCGTTAGTATGAAAAAGACTTGTCTCGCCCTTTAATTAATAAAAGAGGACATCATCTCAAAGATCGAAAAGCACTGACACATATTGATAAAAGTGAAGCCGCCTGTAGATCTTTTCTTTGTGCGTACTCAAATTAAAGTCTGGTTTGTTGGTAGTGCTTCCCCGCACCAAGGTAAACTCTTTAACCTCTGAAAATTTGATGTTCTCGGCTTCTTCGTGCTGTTGGTTCAATATTCGCAAATTGAACGATAATTTCTCTTCTGGTTAACCCGATTTCTGTAATTTCCTGTTAAAGAATTTGTTTATCGGTATATAACAGCTGTGCATAACTAATATGTTGAGAGAGAAACTTAGCAATCTTCCTAATGTAGGCATCAAGGTTATTATCCTCTTAATCATTTCGAAAAACACTTCTAATGAATTGAAGATGAAGATTTGTAGCTAAGTCTGGATCTAGTGTATGAGTTTCTTCCAACTTCTCATGTCCATTTTCCTGAGCTATCAAACCATCAATTCTATGGAACAAACGGCCGTTGATGGTCATTGAATAAGTCCCATCTCTCGAATCACCAGTACTTTTAGAATCCAAGGATGATAGCGAAAGAGTTGTATTGATTGTTCGAGAATATTTGGATGTGATTGGATCCAATCAGATATCCTTCAAGTACTGTGAAGGTTCTTTGAATAACCACCCAGTAAGACTTTGTTCCTATAACAGCAAAAAGATGGTAAATCAGTATCGATAAGAAGAG